GAGTGCACGCACACATTAATTACATCTTTTCTCAAAATTAATGAAGCATTGAAAATGAATGTAGGTATAATGTTTTATTATAAATACTTGCACACACAACCTTATCAATATATCCCTTCCTTAAACTATGGTTCCATATGGGGTGCTTTACAATTCATTAATACTTGTAAAAGGAAGAAAACAAAATTCTGCCATTACAATGTCTAGTAGCGTATGAGATGTTTAGGTACAAAGATAATCTTAGCTTCTATGAACAGGATGAACAGTGGCCATCAAAAAGAAACATTTGGAAGTTACAGTTTTTACTTTTTTTTGCACAATGAAGTTCAAAATTAGGGGATTCAAGCAACAGTGAGGCATAACAAACCAAGTTTCAACACAATTTAATAGTGTGGGTGAATGAGCTTGCATCAAGTTACTAATAAATGGAATAGTTTATGGAGCCCTCAGGAAGTGAAAAATTGCAAGCAAAAGACATGAAGAATAGCCCATCTCAGGAGTCTGGCACTTGCTCAGCAGGTAGATGCATTTTTACCTATAGTTTCATTTCAATCGATCCCTTGGAATACAAATGGTGGCTTCTTTGAAACTGTAACTTTTGCTATTTTCTTACAACTACAAGTAGTCCTTGCTTAACGACCACAATAGAAACCAGAAAATTGGTTGTTAAGTAGGGTGGTTGTTAAGCGAAGCATCACATGACTGCACCTAATTTTACAACCTTTTTTGCATTAAGCAAATCACATGGTCGTTAAGCGAATTGTGGGGTTCCCCATTGATTTTGCTTGCTAGAAGCCGGCTAGGATGGTTGCAAATAGTGATCACGTGACCCTGGGACGCTGCAACTGTAAGTGTGAGCTGGTTGCCAAGTGCCTGGATAACCATCACATGTCTGCAGGGGTGCTGCAACAGTCGTAAGTTTGGGCACTGGTCGTAACTTTTTTAGCGCCGTTGTAACTTCAGTCACTAAACAAATGATCATTAAGCAAGGACTACCTGTACAGTAGATGAGGAAAATTTCTCTTTCTTAATTTTAAATCCAGCTAATTCACCAAACTCTCTCAGTTTTTCCATTAATATATCTAGTCTCTCCAAGGGATTTACAACTATTAAAACCGAATTGTCTGCAAATGCCCTTAATTTATATGTCTTCTTTTTCACTTTTACCCCAGTTATTCTCTCATCTCGTCCTATGTCTCTAGTAGGAACTTCCAAAGCCAAAATAAACAACAGTGCTGAATTGGGCAACCTTAACTTGTCCCTTTTTGTATCTCACAAGATTTAGTCAATTCACCATTAACTATAATTTTTGCTGTTTGTGATGTATATATAGACTTTACCCATTTGAAAAAATTAATAAAGAGAAAACTAAAATGTTAACAAAAAATACGAGAATGCAAGATCAAAATGAACTAATGGGAAAGACTGATTTTCAAATTGAGAAAAAGGTAAAATATTTTGGTATTACCATGTCCAACATGAATTGTATGTTATTTCAGAACAATTATGTTAAGATATGGAATGAAATTAAGAAAGATTTATTAAGTTGGGAAAGGTTGCAACTATAATTGTTTGGAAGAATTTCTGTGATAAAAATTAATGTATTACTTAGAATGATGTTTATATTTCAAACAATACTGCTTTTGAACAATGAAGCACCTTTTAAACAATTGTGAAAAGATTTATCCAGATTTGCATGGCAGGGTAAGAACCCAAGGATTAAATAGAAAACTTTGCAGGATTCAAAAGAAAAAGGAGGGCTAGGGCAACCTGATCTTAAATTATACTTTGCAGGTTGTTGTTTGATTCAGATGAAGGAATGAGTTCTGTTGAGAAAAGAATGTTAGATCATAACTTGAGGGCATGGGTTTTTATGGTATGACAAAGTTAAAGCTAATGTGGATTTTAAAAATCACTATGTGAGGAGTCCCATATTGAAAATACGGAATAAATGTAAACCCTGTCAGGTTCGGCCAGCACGGGGCTTCAGGGAAGCTCGCAGCCAGACCACGCGGAATCCACCGGCGGCAGCGAGCGGGGGGA